AGGGTTGATCGACACGGTGGCTAGGGATGGTGGTAGAGTGCCACGGCTCTGCCAGTCAGCGGGACTGTTGGCCTGTTTCGCGCGGTGTTCTTGAAAGGCTTGTTGTTGGATGGGCGTGATGGGTACAGGCATGCTTGATATCTTGGACAGGTGTTCCACGATCTTTTGGTACATGTTGTCCAGGGCCGTGCGGTCACAGTCGTAGTTAAGGTAAATCTCCACCAAAGCTCTTGAATCACCAGCAATTCGCCCCAGAATCACAAGGATATACTGTTTCTGGAAATTGGCCGCGGTTCGCTTGTCCAGAATCGAGAGGTATACTTCCTTGAGAAACACCTCGATTTCTTTCTTCAGCATAACGCGAAGATGCTTCACCATGAGCCAGAAGATCTCGCAGCTGACCTCGAACACCTGCTTGAGTGAGCTCGCGCCATTCCGACTCAAACTCAGACAAAGATACTGCTTGATCGCTTGTACGAATGTGGTAGGCTCAGCAGTGGTGCTACTTCGAATTGTAGCATAAGGGGAGACGAAGACAGCAACGTTGTTGTGCAAGATTGTGTGAATGATATGCAGAGACAGCAGTTTCGATCTCATACTTTGAGACCTAATGTTCTGCGCTTCTTCCAGGGGTACGGACTTGGTGCTTAGACGACACATTGCCCGGAAAACCAAGTAGGCGTCCTTGACGTAAATCTCGTCCTCCTCCTCTTCCTCTGAGGGCTCGCTGGTTTCCAGCTGACCGTCATGGCCCATGCCGGAGTTCGTCCGTGATGGGGTTCGACGAGCTTTGACTTTGGTGACAAGAGTTGGTGCATTGTCCTGTATTCTTGCATCATCAAAGCTATGCCGGTTTTCGAAGCTTTGGAGTGTGATCTTTGCGCTCTCGTCCTTTTCAACTGGGAGCTCGTTCGGTGCGCCCGATGAGTCGCCTTCCAAGTCAGTCTCACCATTAGCAACGTCAGATTCTTCCTCGGGACTTAGGTCGCCGGATCCGCCTTTGCTCAATGAAGTTCTTGATAAGTTCATCCGCCTCTCCTTGACGGTCAACCTCCCTTTGACCCGCTCGAAGACTGTACCGACCATCTGCGTCAGTGCTCCTTGAGCGACCACCTGGTTGTTGCTTGACTTTGAGTGCAAGAAAACATTATATGTCTGCCTGACAGCCTTGAGCAAGCCAGCACCATGCACCACAATCTTGTCATTCAGAATAGCCGCAAGTAGTGACTTCAATATTTGCAACTCCACTTCCACCGGTGTACCGTCCAGCTGAAAGCAGTCGCATATTGTGTCTATCGCGCGGTCGATTAAAGGCGGTTGTTCCGAAGCTCCAGCGGCGTGATACGAGAAGTAGGAATAGCTGATTAGCTTTCCGATGCAATCAAGTGCAGTCGTCACTACCTGCACAGTATGCGCCTCGGTGGCAAGCTGAAGGGGTTCGAATAAAATCTCGGGGTCGATGCTCGTAGGGTCCCCATCGCCTTTGATGGCGGAAAGTGCCCGTTGCGTTGAATCGCCCAGCTTCTTGTTCTTTCGCGCATCTTTGGACGCGGCAATCGTTTCGAGTGCGGTTATGACGAAGACAAGAGAGGTTCTTGTTGTTCTCGAGGTCGCATTGGTCGCGGCTGTGGACTGGGAATCTGTTCGCATTCGCGCTGATAGAGGATCCGGGGTGGTGATGGGAGTAGCAGCGTGGCCATTGGGTTCTGACTGGTCTGGGAGTTCAAGAGTAGGCGGAGGAGGCTGTTCGGCTTGTGATGCTCCTTCGCGGAGCTCGTCCCGCAGTTCCTCGTGAGGTGTCTCTGGGGACACCTCATCATGCGGTGTTTCTTGTGGTTCTGAGTTTTGGGCGAGCGCCTCTTGCGTCTCTTCAGGTGATTGTTCCTCGGAAGGAGCCTGTGAGTCCTGCTCTTGGGCGTCCTGCTCGGGCGTTGTTCCAGGGTGTGCATCGACAACCTTCTCTTGCTCCTCGTCCAGCTGCTGCGGCGCCCTCTCCAGCTCGTCGTGCTGGATTGACTCCATGGTGGGATTGCGGTGTGGGTTCGAGGGGTATTAAGGCTTCATGTCAGGGTATCAAAAGGGTAGCGGAGGCCTCGAGGCGCGCAAGACGTGGGATTGGAAGGTCACGGCCGACAGGTGCTCGAATATGGTATACGTGCTCAATACCGTGGATGGACTGCCCGGCCGACGGTAAGTCAGAGCCGGGGGTCGTATCTTACGAAGAACACCACACGGATACGCTCTAGCGGGGTCCAGCCGCCAGTAAGATTGCAGAGACGTGATGGCAGGTATCAGATAAGCCGAAAGAAGGCAGTTGAACGGCCGACTAAGCCCCTTGGGGCGGCTGACTGCGCTGATAACGGCCGCGGCCTTGGCTCGAGGCCCTGGCTCTCCAAAGTCCGGAAGCTTTCTCAACGGCGCATCAGACGCCGGCCAACAAATCTCCAATCCACCACCTTCAATCCAGAGGGCTCACCTTTCTTTCCTCCAGGGCTCAGCTTCCTCCTCCCGGGCCGTCCAGCGTTCATAGGCGCCCATACTCTCCCCTTCGCCCTCCGCCTCTCAGCCTTCCTTATCAACAATGTCTGCTGCGACCCTCCTCTACCGCAGCTCCGGCCAGTCCTGCCTGCGCGCAGCTGCCGGTCTCCGCGCTGGATCCCGTCTGGCGAGCGCGCAGAGCGTGGTGCAGTGCGTATATCTGATACGGACCTTCAATGGTGTCGGACTGTACTAACGATGGTCTTCCCGCGCGCAGACGATCGGTGCCCGCGCTTTCAGCTCTTGCCCGCTACTATGCCTCCAAGTGTCAGTCCGCCAGCTTCCGCACACTTCACCACCCTCCAAACAACACCACAACTGACAATGCCGTACAGCCTACCCCTCCCACACCGTTGTCAGCATGCCGGCGCTGTCGCCCACCATGACCGCCGGAAACGTCGGCACCTGGCAAAAGAAGCCGGGTGACAGCATTTCGCCCGGTGAGGTGCTCGTCGAGATTGAGACGGACAAGGCGCAGATGGACTTTGAGTACCAGGAGGACGGTGTGCTCGCCAAGATTCTGAAGGAGGCGGGAGCAAAGGACATCGCTGTCGGCACTGTAAGCTCATTCGGACACGCCACACGCTATCTATACTGACTTTGACCCCCAGCCCGTCGCTATCATGGTTGAGGATGCTTCCGATGTCGCTGCCTTTGAGTCTTTCTCCATTGAGGACGCTGGTGGTGAGAAGAAGCCCCCGGCTGATGCACCCAAGGAGGAAGCCTCTGAGTCCTCCGAGCCTCCCAAGACCGGCTCTGGTACCGCCCCGCCGGCCAAGGAGTCTGCGCCCGCTGCTCAGGAGTCCGAGTCCACCGGTGCCAGGCTCGAGACCGCCCTCGAGCGTCAGCCTGCCATCTCTCCCGCCGCTACCAAGCTTGCTCTCGAGAAGGGCGTCCCCATTGGCGCCATCAAGGGCTCCGGTCCGGGCGGCCGCATCACCACCAAGGACATTGAGAGCTACAAGCCTGCTGCCGCTGCCGCTGGTACTGGCGCTGCCGCCGCTGGCGCCTACGAGGACACTCCCGCCAGCAGCATGCGTAAGGTCATTGCCAACCGCCTGACCCAGTCGATGAACCAGAACCCTCACTACTTCGTTGCCTCCAGCGTCTCCGTCTCCAAGCTTCTTAAGCTTCGCGCGGCTCTGAACGCTTCCGCCAACGGCGCCTACAAGCTGTCCGTCAACGACTTCTTGATCAAGGCTGTCGCCGTTGCCTGCAGCAAGGTGCCCGCCGCCAACTCGTCATGGCGTGAGGAGAACGGCCAGGTCGTGATCCGCAAGCACAACTACGTCGACGTCAGCGTCGCTGTTGCCACTCCTGTCGGCCTTATGACCCCCATTGTCAAGAACGTCACTGGTCTTGGCCTCCAGAGCATTTCCTCGCAGATCAAGGACATGGGCAAGCGCGCTCGTGATGGCAAGTTGAAGCCTGAGGAGTACCAGGGTGGCACTGTCACCATCTCCAACATGGGCATGAACGACGCTATCGACCGCTTCACCGCTGTCATCAACCCTCCGCAAGCCACTATCCTTGCCGTTGGCGCCACCAAGAAGGTCGCTGTGCCCGCTGAGGGTGAGGAGGGCGTTGCATGGGATGAGCAGATCGTCTTCACTGGCTCGTTCGACCACAAGGTCGTCGACGGTGCTGTTGGCGGTGAGTTCATGAAGGAGTTGAAGAAGGTCATCGAGAACCCTCTTGAGCTTCTGTTATAAAGCCCTTCCACGATGGGAGGAAAGAGCGATGGAGTTTTGGTGGATGTCGAGGGGAGACGTTGAGATTCCGACGAGGAAAGGAGGGGAAAGCCACCTTGGGTAATAACACCTCTTGAAACCAAACCTGTAAATTTACCCTGGTGTGCCTCTGTGTGTTACGTCCTTCTTCATCATCTCTTCCCAGTCTCCTTGATCTTGTTCTAGATTTTACGCAAAGCGCCGGGGTTGATGTGTTTGGGTGCTGGGTGCGAAGCATTTGTACCAAAAGTAGTCACATGTCAGTCCCATTTGCGCGAGCATTCTCATACCCGGGAGCAAAGAAAGTCGTATGCCACCTCTGCTCATCGACTGCAGTTCTGCGATTTTTCTGTTTAGTTCGCGTGTCGCAATTCGCAGCCCTGGTGGTCATGACCTTGACCCAGAGCCTGTCATAATGCACAGCAGCCTGAAGGGAGCCCTTGAAGGAACGTCTTGAAACACTTCAACCTCACTCAATTTCCCCAGACCATCCTAAACATCACGACCTTCTAGAGTCAGGGCTTTTTTCCAATACGGAACATGCCATTCGACATCCGCACTCCCATCCGCACTCTCCCGGCGTCCCACGGTCCACCTCTATCCGGCCCTTCCAGTGGCCCCGCCCACGCACCCACCATCCATCAAATTTTCTCTCCTCTGACCCACAGCTATTGTTGCCTATCATAAATTTATTAGCCAAATAATTTTCTCATCAAATTAGGACCATCACCAGGTCGCTTAGCTCAGTTGGTTAGAGCGTGGTGCTAATAGCCTCTGCTATGATACGCCAAGGTCGCGAGTTCGACCCTCGTAGTGACCATTGATTCACCTAAGTTCCTACGGGAGCATTCTCTTTTTGTTGTGTTCCAGCCCGAATAGGATGGGTCAAAGTAGATCTGTGTTTTGCGGGAAGAAGAAGGACGCACCGGGTGGAAGCTTTCTTCATTACTCACTCTCTATCATTTTTGTAGTCATGGAGGCATATGGCGTTCTTTGGCTGCGTGAAGAGCTCAATGACTGGTTTTCAGAGGTGAGAAGGCTGGAGGACAATGCTCAAACATTTTTGCCGTTAATCAGTGCGCCGACTTCAGACTACAACATACGGTCTTGCAGCCCCAGAGAAGACAAAGAAACAAAGAGAGAGGTCGGACAGCACGAGCAAAGCCGCCGAGCAGTAGCCAGTACATTGTGTTACACAGTAAAGTCCCGTCCGAATGAAACCCACCGATGAAGAGCAAGTGCTTCGAGTCGTGGAAGCGAAAGCGGGAGGGTAAAAAGGTGTCATGCAATAGAAGCTCTGCAATTCGTGACGTTCAGACATTCGTGACGCTTATTAGCAACCCGAACAACACCGCTTGCTATGCCCCGTTTGCCGTTGTCCCCGCTCCCTGGGAGAAAGACCAAAAACGCCGCAAACCCCTGGTATCTATGCCCTCGCACAAAGCCAACCCAATTCGCATCCATGCCAGCTCTTCCTCTTCTCTCTCACGCCGCTTCTCAAGCGTATTCGAAAACCAGGCGGCAACGGTTCAGTCAAATCAGCGTGGTCGATTAAGCCCTTGCTTGGCCTGTTTGTCGAATGTGTTAGTCGAGGCGCGGTATATAATAGGGGGGTTCTCAATACTAGGTGAGAGAGTAGAGGAGTAAAGAAAAGCCGGGTGGATCAGAACAGCTCAGGAATCGGGACCAATGCTGGTCTGTCATCCCTCTTCGCTGCCTTGTCACCCGCCTTCCGTACCTTCATCATTTCGATTCTGGCTTTCAGGTTCTGTGTCACTTCAGCTGCTCGCTTCCAGCCCTCGACGCCGTTGCTGGGTGCGCCGCCGTTCCCGCTGACCGTCCTGCTTCCGGGCGCAGACGTGTCTGTTCCGCCGAGAGCTGGACTCGCGCGTCCGGATCCAGAGTGCGAGGACATGGCGGAAGTCGAGCCGCCGCGACGTATCGGAGAGGAGAGACCAGCCGGCTTGCGGCCGCTACCAGAGCGCGAGAGGCCACCATCACCAAAGTTTTCTTTACCGTCTCCGCCTGGTGAGCCGGGCATATACGACCTTCTACCGAAAGCCCCACCTGCATAGTCGGAGCCGCCGCCGAATCGACCCGCACCGCCGTTCATACCGGTGTCGTTGTAAACCTGGTCAGTACTGATATCGAAAGGCGGAGGGCTAGAAGCGCGGACTGAACGGCTGAGCTCGCGTTTCAGACGCTCTACCTCTCTTTGCTGCGTCTGGACTGTCTGCTCGGCCGCCTCAGCATCCGAACGAGCGCGGACGAGCTGTGTTTCCTTGGCTTTGATTGACAGGACGTCTCGTGTGTGATCTTCGATCAATTGCGCATTCTGGTTCTGAAGTTCGTGAATCTGAGACATCATCTTGGATCGTTCGTGTTTGAGGTCCTCGTTTTGATTCTTCAGCATCTCGACTTCGGCACGCAGCTCTTCGAGCTCGGCCTTTTCGATTGCACTCAAACCGGGCACTACGGGCGCTGGTACAGGTACTTCGGCGGCCGGCGCAGGAGCAGGCTTGCCTAGGGGTCGGCCTGCCAGTCCTCGGCCAAGGCCCAACTTCGGAGGAGCTTTCGGTGTAGGGGGCTCTTCTTCTTCCTCCTCCTCTTGTGGCGGAGGAGCCGCCGCCCGTTTCGGAGAAACTGCTGCTGCAGGCTTTTTCAATCCAAGACGAGACTTGGGACCCGCAAGCTTTGAGGCGCCTGGTCGGGTTGTCGGCTTCGCTGCTAAAGGTGCTGCGGCAGGCTCTTCTGGGGTAGGCGATCGTGGTTTCGGGGGTGCGGCTGCAGGTGCGGCTTTCTTGACTCCCGCAGCCGGCTTCTTTCCTCCCAGAACTTTCTTAGGAGGACCTGCTGCTGCTGCCGGCTTTGGTGGTGCCGCTGCTTTCGGTTTGTACTTCGCTTTGACCTCTGCAGATTCGTAAAATTCCTTCACTTTGTTCTTGCGGATTTCATCGAGTCCCTCAAGATGAGGGTTCATGATGCGATCGCCCATAATCTTCCATAGCGTACCCAGCACCTCAGCACCCGCAGCTCTTTGCACCTCCTGTGACTCGGTGAGGAGTTTGGTAGCGGCCTCAGCGATCGTCTTAACTTCCGGTGGGTTCGGGGCCGTGCGCGTATTCTTGAGGACTCGAATGAGGAGCTTCGTTGTTTCCAGCTTCACCTGTGGGTTCTTGTGCTTGAGGCCTTCCAGAATCTCCTCGAGATTTTCCTGTAAGCTGGTAGCACCAACGACGGCGTCAAGCGCAGCTCCTAAAGCGTCTGCAACGGCCTGCTTCTTCTCTTTCAATCGCTCAATCATGGGACTGAAAACGGTAGATCTGTACTTTCCGAAGCTCTTTTTCAAACCTTTCGCGAAAAGTTCAACGCAATTAGCCGCAATGGTGACCACAGCAATATTCGCGTCCTTCATGCTCTTGGCAAGACCCCTCATGATATCGTCGAAATGTCCTTCTTCCATCGCTGGGACATTGATGGCATTGTGCAAATCATCAAGAGCCTCCTTCCGATCTTTCCACTTCGACGAAGCCAATCGTTCTCCGAAGTCCTTTGGTATTTTGGGCATGACGTCGACGGCCATGAATTCAGGCTCAAGGTCAATCTCCGCGGCGTCCTCCTCTTCTGCAGCACCGTCGCCGCCATCTCCACCTGCAGCGGGGGCCGCCTCTTCTGCCTCTTGCTGCGATCGCAGTAATCTTTCTTGCTTTGGTGGTGGCTCATCCTTAACCTTCTCGAAAAGCTTGTCCAGATCTGTCTGCTGTACGGGCTTCAGATCTCCCCAGAAAAGCGGTTTCATTGCCTCCTTCAGCCATCTATAGAATTCGACAGTGAGATTCTGCGCCGCCGCTCGCACATTCTTATCGGCGTGACCAAAGACTTTCGGCAAAGCCTTGAGAGTCGGTTTCGGTTCTATTGTTTTGCAGCCGTATGCGTGGTACAATTCCCTGAGGGCATCGAGGGTGGCGGCGATAACTTTGGGCTGTTTATGCGAAAGGAGGGGAAGAAGTTCCTCGATGACGGGATCCGCCTTGTCGAGCTCGACGTACAACATAAGAGCTTCCAGACCTTTGGCTTTTGCTGCCGGTCTCCCAATGAGGCCCTTCTCTACAATCGGCGCAATGGTCAAGCCTCGAGTCCTGAGAATCCAATTAGCACTTCAAGCGTCCGTCTCTCCGATGTACTTCTTCCATACCTTGTGCATCCTTGTAGGCCACCGATCTGCAGGAATGAACAGAGCGCGCTCAAGCCCTCTTGCTGTGCAGCAACGTTCGAGTCCGCCGCTGCTCCTTTCCACAGGCCCGGATCTAGTATGAACTGGCGCACGACGGGGTCGGACTCTCCCTGCGCCTTGTCGAACTCCTTCGCGGCAGCTTCATATCCCTCTTTCCTGACTTTCCAGTTCTTGTGTTGGAATCTGTCAGGTAGCGGCAGGGAGCTAAAGTCCTCTTCCTGTTCCGCCATCGTGTTGACGGTGGTGTTTGCTGTGGTTGCTCAGGTCTGCAAGCGCGTCGTTAGTGTCTGCTACAGGACTGAGAGAATACGCATGATGCTGTGAAGTGCAAAAGGAACAAAGGACTGGCGTGAGGGGGCGCGAGAGCGGTGGTCCGTTGGCGCAAGAAGCAAAGACTTACTTCTGAGTCGTGCGTATGATGCCCAAGGTAGCAGTCCTTTGGAAGTGTGCGGTCGGCAAAGAGGCAGGCGTAACTCGACGCAATCTTGCCGCAGACTAGACGAGTGTAGGTTTGCGATGGATGGTAATAGGGTTGTCGGGGGGTGGTGATAGGCAGATGTGGTGGTGTTTTTGGTGTGTCCCGCGTCAACAGCCGAGGGGTTGGTCTAGCAACGGTGAGGCTTTCCACCACGCACCTCAGTGAAGGCCAGAGCAGACACGCGCAAACAGCAAGAGGAGAAGACTCGAGAACACAGCAGACTGGACTCGCACTGCACCGAATCAATCCGCATTGCCCCGTTGGCCAGAAGGCATAGCTGTACAGTCGACACTCGAGCAGCCACCGCCTCCAAGGCTCGCTCGGACCTGACAGCGCAGGGCACCAGCTCGAGCATCAAAACAACTTGTCGAACTCGGAGTCAAGCCACCAAGGCCACACTCCTCACCCCAGCCCTACGGTCGCTCCCTCACCCACCGTCCGCGGGGCCGCGCCGACCTGACCTTACTTTACACCTGGGGCGCACCCATTGGCGGTGACCGGATGCGCCCACTGTCCAGCCCAACATGACCCAGCTTCTGACCCAAAGACAGGCCGACGAGCTGTGCGTCCACCAGCCCGCTGTCCTCACTTCCACTCGCTGACTCCCTGCTCAGGCACAAGGCCATCGTTGCCTATGTTTCCGGCCGCGTCGAGCCCGAATTTGCTCAAGGCCTCCGCGACCAGCTCGGCGTCGACGACAGCTTCGACGATGCCACACGCAAGAAATACGAGGGTCTGCTGGAGAAGAAATGGACCTCAGTCGTCCGGCTCCAGAAAAAGGTCAGCATGCGGGCCATCCAGCGCCGTTGCTGCGCTGTTGCTGCTGCTACACCATGCTAAGTCTGCGTCGCTGTATAGATTATGGATCTGGAATCGCGCACCCAATCTCTCCAAGCCGAGCTCGACTCCGCAACGCCGACCTCTCTTATGAGGAAGAATACAGACCCGACCGCCTGGCTGCCACGGGGGCCTGCACGACACGTACTTCAATCGCATCGCATGGCCATCACGAGTGTCGCCTTCCATCCCATCTTCACCTCCCTCGCCTCCGGTTCCGAAGACGGAACCATCAAAATCTGGGATTGGGAGCTGGGCGAGCTTGAACGCA